ATATGTTAAAAACCTGGGTTCAAATCCTGACTCTGACAAAAAGCATTTATCAAATGCTTACTATTATTTCTCCTCTTCCTCCTATTGTTACTACTACTACTACTACTATAACAACTGCTGCTGCTGCTGCTGCTACTACTACTACAAGCTAACATTTATATCTCCCTCACTAGGTGCCAGGTACTGTGCTAAGCTCTTTGCTATTACTATCTCATTTAATCCTCACAACACCCTGAGTCGGTGGGTGCTATTATTATCCCCATTTTACAGATGAAGAAACTGAGGCAGACAGCAGTTAAGTGATTTGCCCAGGGTCACATAGCTAGTGTCTGAGGCCACATTTGAACTCAGGCCTTCCTAACTCCCGGCCTCAACCCCAATCCACTGTGTCACCTAGCTGCCAGCCCCTGGAACATATGTAGCTCTAGAGTCTTTTCAGCCCTGTGGTAAACCAGAGATAATACTGAACTTGGAGCCAGGAAGATGTGAGTTGAAATCCAGCCTCAGACCATTTTTTATTCAGTTTCCTTATCTGTAAAGTGGAGATAATAATACTATAGTTCCTATTCTTTACACCACTCCAATTCCCCCGTTATTGTGAAACTCAAATAAAATAATGGAGGTACAATGTTTTGCAAACCTCCAAACCATGTGTCAGTTAACACCACTTTTTTTTAAGACATCACATTTACTCCTTGTCTAAACATAACAGAAATGGAAAAAAAAATATCAGAACCTAACAACCACCAGCTAATTTCCACAATCTGTGTTCCTTCTGTGTGCATTATTCCTTGAATCTATTTAAAATAAACACATAATACAATAATTTTATTTCTCCCTTAAAAGAAAATCTATTAAAGTGGGATTGAGGATTACTGTTACTGATAACAACAATTCTCTGATCTGTGAGGTTCTCAGGGCTGTTTACAGGAACATATGGATCCTTGATCTACAGATTTCAGAGTCTGCATCTTCTAACCCTTGCATTTTACAGAAAAAGAAACTGAGTCCCAAAGGAGGTTGAATAATTTGGCCAAAAACTACATCATAGATGTAGAGTTGGAAGGAACCTGAGAGACCATCTAGTCCACCTGTCCTCTGAAGAAACTGACCAAAGTCACACAGGTAGCAAATAAGAGAGGTAAGATTTGAACCCAGACCTTCTTTTTCCAAATCCAGTGTTTCCCACTGTCCCACACCGTTATCATCATTCCTTATTTTATATAAGAGGAAATGAAGGCCTGGAGGAATGGAATCATCTGCCCCGGATCACATAGCTAATTAGTGACCTACAGACCAAAGCTGGGCTCTCCTACTGGCTGATTCACTCAAGGCCCAAAAGGCAGCCAGTCCAGTGGATGAGTGGGGAATTATCAGCCTCAATGGGGAAGGCATAGAAAGAAAAGTCCACAATCTCTTTTTCCACACTGAAACCTTCCTAAGAAACTGGGCATGGGCCCTTAGCTCTGCTCACCGCATCTAGCTGCTTATGCATTTCCAGGGCCTTCCCCAAAATGTCACACTTCTTCTTGGCCTCATTGGTGAAGTCATCACAGATGCGCCGGAGCTCCACACACTTGGGCCGGATAGAGTCCACAGCATAGTGGTTGCTTTGGATAAGTTGGTCACCGGTCACTGCCAGGGCCTGGGCCTTCTCCAGGGGCTCCTGGGAAACAGAGTCCAACTGTCAAAAGCTGCCTAGTCTCAGGGGTAACCAATGGGGTGGGGGGAGAACTTTGACTTCGGAGCCTGGAGGTTCTCGCCTAGGCCTGAGTGCATGGATCCAGACCTCCTTCTCTTTCTATATGAGATATGTATATGTATATGGAGCATATATGTGTATATGTATACATATGTATGCATACATAAAACTTTGTATGCACCATGTATTTACTTACTTCTGTACATATTGCTGCCCCAGGTAGAATGTAAGCTCCTTGAGGGCAAAGACTGACTCATTTCTGTCTTTTCATCCCCTGGCACATAGTAGGGGCTTAATAAATTTTGTTAAGTTGAGTCAAATTGGTTAAGTGGCTGGCTATATCATAGACACTCAGGCCCATTCAGCACATGCAACCCATAATTCTTGTCGATTAAACGCAAGAGTTAAGTCAATTGGTACAGCATCTCTGACTGGATCTGCATAGAGCTGGAGGAAATCACGCAACAAAATTCCTCCTTTCCTTTCTATCTGTCTGTCTATCTATTTATCATTCATCATCTATATCTTTTTATCATGCATTCATCTGTATAAATGTATCTACCATTTATCTGTATATCTATCATTCATCTATATCCATCATACCTATCAATCATTTATCTATCTATCTATCTATCTATCTATCTATCTATCTATCTATCTATCTATCTATCTATACATATATAGAAATCTGAACTGGATGTCCTGTAGACATCTCCATCTCAACATGTCCAAAACTTTCCCTTCCTCCCAGCTTCCATATTGCTCTTGAGGGTACCACCATCCTCCCAGTCCCTCAGGTTAGAAACATTGGTATCTATCTCACCCTCACCCTCACATACAACCTCTTCACCACACCTCCCGATCATGCCCCCTTCTCCCCTCTGACAGTGCCCCCACCTTGGTGCAGACTCTCCTCCCCGCACGTCCTAATTATTGCAGTGGCTGCCGGTGGGTCTGCCTGCCTCCCATCTATCCCTGCCCCAATCCGACCTCCTGGGCGGCAGCCACGGTCACTCGCGATTCGCAGACAGACTTGTGGAGAGGCTCAGCCTGTCGCTGACCCCAGCAGGGCCTTTCCCAGGACACCAACGCCTCTGGCACCCACCTGGCCTCTCCTCTCCAGCTGCTTCCTCTCCTTCAGCAGTTGTTCCACACGTGCCACGCTGTTCCCAATGACTGTGATTTTTGCCTGTACAGACATTAGGCTATCCAGGGCCAATTTAACCTGAAAACAGAGTGAGATAATTCAGAAACACACCTGCCAGGGACCATGGAAGAGGGATAAAGGACACTCGGCTTAGAGAAATCACTTCAGCGCACCCTGGATTTGCACTGGACCTGTGATTTCACTGGTCTGAGGAGCTCCTGCTGATAAAACTCCCTCTTCTGTAACTTACCATTTGGAGAGTTACCCGGGCAGTGAGATGTTAAGTGATTTACCCAGGGTCACATGGTATGTGTCAGAGGCAGGACCTGAACCCAGGTCTTGGGGACCCTAAGAGGTCAGCACTCTCTCCACTACACCATACTGCCCTTCATTGTGTATAGCAGCATTTATATGTATTACTTTACAATTATTGACTTCTTTGTTCCTAAAAACAACCTCTGGGAAGTGGGTGCTGTTATTATCTCCATTTTACAGTTGAGGAAACTGAGGCAAAGAGCGGTGACATGGCTTGCTCAGGGTCCTCTAGCCAGTAAGTGTCTGAGGTTGGATTTGAATTCTGGTCTTTCTGACCGGCCTGAGTGTTTAATCACTACACTACCTGGCACAATTACCCAGATATACAAAGAGGGGAAGACCCCAGAGCCTGTCCTCTCCACTTTATCATTCTGCCCCCAATCTCAAGTGGGATTTGTACCCAGATCCTTGGACCCCTTAGCGACTGCCCAAGCCAGTGACTTTATTCCCTGGACCTCAGTTTTCTCATCTGTACAATGAGTTCCCTTCCAGCTATAGTTCTGTGAGCCTATGATCTATGAGGATCTTGGTTCAAAGGATTCCTGAAAAAGCCTGGCAGGTTTCCCAGTCACCTCCACCACCACCAGGAGGGTAGCAGGCTCTGCTCCAAACCTCCTCTCATGAAATCCCCGATGCTGAGCTATTGCAGGTGCTTCTGTTAAAAATAATAATAATAAAACCACAGAGAGTCTTTTTTTCCTTCTTAATTCTATATCCCAGATGACTGCCTGGGAAGGAAGGATGGTCTGGTTGTCTGCTACTTTTCACTCTCCAGATGTAACATCGAGAATGTTACATTAGCTTTATTCTGAAGGAAGGGACTGTCTTTCCTTCTGTTTGCATGTATATACCACAGTGCCTGGACACCCAGTAAGAGCCTAATAAATGCCTGTGGACTTGGCTAGTGCTGGGAGGGACCTTATGGGCTATTTAGCCAAATACCTTCTTTTACAGACAAGGATGGGGAGGCCCCAGTTGGAGAATGGACCTGCCCAAACCCTCACAGGATTCAAGCTGAGGTTCCTGCCTTGTTCTCCCCTAGCATCCTGCCTCTCTATTCTAGGGCAGAAGAGAGGCTCTGGCACCTAGGCAGGACTTCAGAAGGAAATGAATGGGGGAGAAGGGCCTGGACCAGTTTTGCCCCAGAGACTGCCCCTTCCTGGAGGAAGAAGGGGGTGGGAGAAATAATACCTCTCGGAAATTGTGCTCAAAGTGCCGCAGCTGCAGGCATTGGTTTAACTTCAGATAATGCTTAGTCCAGAACTGATCAAAGGCCTTTTCTGTCTCATCCAGCTGAGCGAGTAACCTAGGAGAAACAGAGGACAGCATGTGTGATGGCGCCTGTGTATTCCCAACTGAGGCACCTAGGGTGAAAAACATCCCAGCCATAATTCCAACTGGTGCCACGTCCTCTACCACAAACATGTGCAGTCACTCACGTCTCTAGGGGCCTTCAGGGCTTACAAAGCACTCTGCCAGCGCCCTCCCCAGTACAACTTCTTAAGGTAGGTGCCATTATCATCCCCATTTTATAGGGGAAGAAATGAAGGCTGTCACTCAAGTCGTAAGGGTCAGACCTGGGACCAAGTGCCTAGGACGTGGGACCACAACCTCTAGAGCTAGAAAAGACTTCAGAGGCCATTAAATCTCACCCCTTCACCTTCATACATCTTCATCTGTATATGGGGCCATATATTTGTATTATATGTCATGGGGTCACAGAGATCTTGATATAGACAGCTATTTACACATGCATGTGTGCATCTGTATGTATGCATGTGTGCAACATACCTGTGTGTATATATGTGCATGTGTATTAATAAACACATATAGGTATATGTGTATGTATGCATGTGTGTATGACTACAACATAGCTGTGTATGTATATATGTGCATGGGTATTAGTAAGTGCGTGTACATATATGTGTGTGTGCGTATATATGTGCATATATTTATATGCACACACATACATTCATGTGTGTATTGTTGTATTTACATGTACCTACATATGCCCACATGTGTATGCATATGTGTATATGTGTGTTTATTTATGTGTATATGTGTGCATGTGTATTTATGTGTATATATATACATGCAAGTGTGTGCATGCTATGCCATAGATATAGGAATGTGAGAGAAGAATCTGACATAAGAACTTGAAAGAGCTGAAGACATTGTGCGTGTGTGTGTGCATGTGTGTGCGTGCGTGGGCGCACATACTTTTTTCCCCTCAAATATTACATTTGGGAGAAGGGCAGCTAGGTGTGCAGTGGATAGAGTGCCAGGCCTAGAGTCAGGAACACTCATGTTCCTGGTTTAATATTTGGCCTCAGACACTTACTAGCTGAGTGATCCTAGGCAAGTCACTTAACCCTGTTAGCCTCAGTTTCCTCATCTCTAAAAGGAGCTGGAGAAGGAAATGGCAAACCACTCTAGTATCTCTGCCAAGAAAATTCGAAATGGGATCACAACTGAAAAAAATGACTTACTACATGCAAGGGACTATTCCTTTGGGGTAATTTCCCCAAATATTATTCATTTGGGGGATATTTTTCATCTAGATTTTCTATGGCTATTCTTTTTTTTTTTGCATTGGCAAGTATCTATTGAAGATATATGTATATATACATAAATACATACATATATGTGTATATATACATACATATAGTATGTGTGTGTAGACACATACACATATACGTATACATACATACACACATATCCACTACAGAATTCACTACAAATTGCTGATATCTGTTGATTTATTGCACCTGTGTTTAAATAGAGACGTTATTATGGTTGGAAGTTACCCCCATGTAACCCGTTTAGAGCAATGGTGCTTAGACGTGCAGACAGATCCCCTCAGAGGACTTTCAGTTAAGGGCAAACCATCTAGTAACGGAGGAATTAGAGATTGATTGTGAGACGCTAATTGATAACATAGGTAAATGCAAAGTAATAACCAAGACGTGTGAGGAAACAATAAAAGTCTTTTGAAAATGATTTTCTAAAATTCCTACTAGGCTAGGGATTTCTGAAAATGATTCCCATTCTCCTTCATATATGTGCATTGATTCATGATGGGCAGAAGAAAGCAAGAAGGAACCAGGGATATGTCAGAAAGATAAGTAAAGGGGAAGGACCAGCTTAGACCGGGAGAGGCATGGACAGCATTGTCATGAAAACTGTAGGGGACACAAAGCTGGGAAGGGTCCATCAATAACATCCTGGGAGACAGGATTCAAAATGATCTTGACCAGCGGGCCAAAGTTCTTAAAGGGTACTCTGTGGGGCCGTGGGGCCCCGAGAACCATCCAGGGGATCCCAGATGTCCAAACTATTCTCATAATAATACTAAGATGTTATTTACCTACCAAAATTCTCCTCCTTTTTCTGTGTGAGGCTGGATTTTCCTCATATACTTCAACCAAAACTACATATTGCAATAGATTAAAAGCAGAAGCACACAGAATACAGCTGCCTTCTATTAAGCCAGACATTAAAAAGAATTGTAAGAATAGTAATGATGCCCCTATTTTTTTGTTTTGGAAAACAATTATTTTTCATAAAAATATTTTATGTGTGTTGATAAGTAATGAGTTTATTGTTATTTTATTAAATTAATACATTTTAAATTTTTTATGAGTTTTAATTTCTAATATGGTAACTCCTGTATATATAACCCACTTAATCAAAAGCTCTTCAGGGGTGGGGAGGAGTCCTCAACAATTTTTAAGAGTGTAAAAAGGTCCTAATACCAAAAAGTTTGGGAGCTGCCAGCCTGGAGTCTTGGGCTGAATCCAATAAGATGAAATTCAATAAGGATAAATATAGAACTTTATTTTATTGTTATTGTTGCATCATTTCAACAGTGTCTAGCTCTTTGTAACTCCTTTTAGAGTTTTCTTGGCAAAGATACTGGAGTGGTTTGCCATTTCCTTCTCCAGCTCATTTTGTATAGATGAGGAAACTGAGGCAAAGAGGGTTAAGTGACTTGCCCGGGGTCACACAGATACTAAGTGTCTGAGGCCAGATTTGAACTCAGGAAGATGAATCTTTCTGACTCCAGGCCTGGAGCTGTATGCCCTGTGGCACCACTTATGGGCTGGACTAGAGCATTGCTGGGCTCCCTCCCAACTCTCAGATTTGGTGATTTGTGACTCAGCATCTTGTGGCTTCTCAGGGAGTAGGTCTAAAAGGGGAGCAAAGCCGAAGGCAAAGGCAGATAGGATGAGACATCATTCCACGACCTTCTTAAAGGTGCTCAGTAAAGCCCGGTGAGGGGTGAGCATGGGCAATGATGGCCCTGCAGTCACTTTCACTGATTCCTGAACCCATTTGGGGATGAGTCCCCTTAGTGTTCCTAGGACCCTAAATATTAATAAAGGCAGGATTTGTTTTTAAAAGGAGAGTGTACTGATGCCATCAGCAGGCATCAAGCCACTATAGTGTGAGGCAAAAGGAGAAGAGAGCAGATCCATGTTTCCCCACCTTTCCACCGTCATGACATTTTCCAGTTCATCAGGGTTGAGCTTGATAGCGGGGTTCTTGTTAGCTGGTTCTCGGATGCATGACAGTAACGTGCCCCCCTGGCTCCCCGCCAGCTTCAGCTCAGCCTGGGGAGACAAAAGACAAACTGACATTGAGCAAAAGAGATCCTTGTCAACTTTTTTTTTAACTGCCTGGAATGTTAAAGGTCGTCTATCCACCTCCTTTATCTTTCATATGTGGAGACTGAGGCACAGAGAGGGAATCCTAGATCCAGAGCTAGAAAGGATCTCAGTGGTCATCTAGTCCAGCCCCATCATTTTTTAGATGAGAGCTGAAATGATTTGCAAGTCCCAAGGGGAGGAAATGACGGAGCAACAGGCCCCTTTCCACTACACCAGGCTTTCTCTTCCTGGAAGCTTTCTCCCTGACTCTGTCTAGATTGATTTGCCTGAAGCAAATTTAGATGAAACAGCAAGGTGTGCCTTTGGGGGTACCTAGCCCCAATATCTTCCCCCTCTCTTTTTCTGGAGGATCCTTGCATGGCCCAGCCTAGGCTGACTCGATGCTCCTTCCCAAGCCTTCCCCAGACCTGCTTCTCCACGCCAGGGTCCCCTCAGGATCCCCTTTCTCATTCAAACCTACACCCCCACCACCACCACCACCAAAGGACCTGCCCTGTCTCAACTCTCAGTGGTAGAGCTAACATAACAAACTCATCCCCAGCTGAATGAGCAAATGCCACATTGCTTGGACCCAGCTGCCTGCTCCTCCCACCTCCCCCATCTTCAGAATGCTAAACAATATACTCATTGCCTTCTTCCACCCACAGGAGAGTACTGGAAGCAGCTACTATAGGCTGTGGAGAGCTGATTGTTAAATATTCAGTGTGATCACTGACACTTCACAACAAATCAGGGCTTGACTTATTTTCTTGGTGGTTGTCTAGACTTAAGAAAGCAATGGAGAAAATATTAATGAGGGGAATTAAACTTAAAAGTGTATCTTGTATATATTTTGTTTTCTTCCTAAAACTGGTTGTTAAACATTTATTAACACATGCCTGGTGAAGGATTACTAGAATTCCCATCTAATACAAGTTTATAATAAAAATAGTCTAGGATACTACTAATTTAGAGCTGAAAAAGTCTTTAGAAATCATTTATTCCAAGACTTGTACGGTCTGATGCTGAGTGAAGTGAGCAGAACCAAGAGAACGTTGCACACAATGACAGCCACATTGTGCGATGACTAATATTGATAAACTTAACCCTTCCCAGCAATACAAGGATCTTAGACATCTCCAAAGGCCTCGTGATAGAAAATGCTATCCACATCCAAAGAAAGAACTACGGAAGTTGAATTGTTTTTTTTTTCCTCTTCCGTTGAGTTTTGTTTCCTCTTTCTGATGGCTCCTCCTATTGTTTTTAATTTTTACTTATTACATCACTAATGTGAAAATAAGTTTAATAGGAATGTAAATGTATAGCCTATATGAGATTATGCGCCATCTTGGGGAGAGTGGTGGGGAGGAAGGGGGAGAAAAATTTTAAACTCAAAAGCATATGGAAGTGATAATTGATAAATCAAAATAAATTAATAAAAAAAGAAAAAAAGAAATCATTTATTCCAACTCTTGCTTTTTACAGATGGGGAAACTGGGGCCCAGGGAAGTACACCACATTGCACTTAACATGGGATGCTTCAGGAACCTGAGCAAGTCATGTCAACCTTCCCGGCCTCAGGTTCCCCATCTGCAAAACAGAGGTAATAACAGCACCCACCTCCTGGGTCTGTAGTGATACTCAAGGGAGACCAGAGGGAGATTATAGAGGTGGAAGGGTCATCGAGTCCAAATTCCTTATTAGGACCACTGAGGTTCTGGGAGGGTGAGTGACTTACTCCGTCACTGGGGCAGGAGGTGGCAGAGCCCAAATTTGAACTAGGATCTCCTGGTCCCAAAGCTAGTGAGGTGGACCATGCTGAGATAAGGCATGGTGGATGGCGTGTGCCTTTTAAAGTTTACCTAAATGTGAGTGGCTTATTTTTGTTACTTCCCCTCCTTCTGGCCTTGGCCCACTTCTGGTATCAGAAGAGGAGGGCCCAGAATGATCCAAGTTAAGGGCCCCCTTCTCACATATGTCCTCCCACCTTCTCAGGGACAGAAGTGTGTGATGACTAATGTGCCTGCCTGCAGCCACAGGGCCCAGTGCCTGATGACTGGCTTCGGGACTGTTGCTTCTCCCTCCGCTCCTGTCCCCCCACTTCAGAAGCCCCTCAGGATAATCGCCGGTTGTATGTTCACTGGAGGCAAAAGCAGACAAGGGGCCTCTCTTTTTAATCAGCAGTCAGCTTTCATTAGCATCCTGCAGCATCTGCAGCTGTTTCAGCCAGCCTGCCTCTTCCTCCCCCATCCTTGCTGTGCCAGAGCCCAGGCTGAGCACCCACCTTCAGCTTGCTGTGCTGCTCTGTCTGGGAGTGGAGGAGCTGCTCTGTACACTGGACATCATTGGGCAGCTCCGTCTCCGCCAGGTCCGTCCCAAAGGTCTGTAACATCTGGGCTGTGGTTTTCACTGTCACGGCAAAGTTTTCTATGGCCTGGGAGGTCAAAGGCAAGGAAGCTAATTAAAGCTTGTCAGGATGGATGGAAATAACATGGCGGAGCCCCTCCCCTCCCCTCCCCATGTTCCGTCCATTCCCACTGTCATCTCCAGTAAGGCCTCAGAATTCAGTAGACAAGAAGGAGGAGGAGGAGGAGGAGGAGGAGGAGGAGGAAAAGGAAGAAAAAAAGAGGTGGAGGAGAAAAAAGAAGATGAGAAGGAAGAGAAGAAAGACAGGAGGAGAAGGACAAGGAAGAAAAAGAGGAGAAGGTAAAAGAAGAAGGAAGAGGAGAAAGAGAGGATGAAGAGGAGAAGGTGGTGAAAGAGAAGGAGAAAGAGAAGAACTAGAAGGAGAAGGAAGAGAAAGGAGGAGAAAGAAGAAAAGCAAAAGGAGAAAAGAAGAAGAAAGAGGTGGATGAAGAGGAAGAGAAGGAGGGAGAGGAAGAAGAGGAGAAGGAAAAAGAAGAAAAGGAGAATAAGGAAGTGAAAGAGAAAGAAGGAAGAGAAGGACCAGAAGGAGAAAAAGGGGAAGGAGAAAGAGGAAGTGAAGGAGAAGAAAAGAAGTAGGAAGAGGAGAAAAAGGAGGAGGAGAAAGATGGGAATAGAGAGACTGAACCTATAATTTCATTGGTCTAGTGAACTCTTGGAAGGGTAAACTCATTGTGCATCCAACTGGACACCTTCTCTGCAATTTTGGGCCTTGGAGGGGCGTCAAAAGCCTAGAGAAGTGAATGACACGCCCAGAGTCCCACTGCAATAATAAAAAATAGTAACAACCACCACCACCACCATTTCTAGAGGTTTTCTTTTAAGAGTTTACAAACCACACAGCAGCCCCAGAAGGTAGGTAGCAAAAGCATTATGCCCCCATATTGGGGCAGATGGAGCAACCAAGGCTCACAGAGGTTAAAGCCCATTCCTGTCCTGCCACTCTTCCCACTGACTCTGAATGACAGCACCACAGCATGGATTCCCACTGGTGCTCTCCAGGAGCAAAAATGAATGAATTATCATGTGCCATGGTGGGGAGAGGCCAATACAACGCATTACAGTGGAAGGAGAGCTGGGGTTGGCGTCAAAGGCACGGGCTTTACATCCTGTCTCTGCTGCTTCCTACCTGAGTGACCCTCATCAGTTCAGTTAATGGCCTTCTCAGGGGCCTTACATGTAAAAGAAAGGGGGTGAATGGGATGGCTTTGACCCTCCCCCCAGCTCTAAATCTGGGCCTCAGTTTCTTCCTCTGAAAAATGAGGTGGTTAGACTGGATAGCTCTAAAGCTAGAATGTTAAGATTAGGGGGGTTTTTTGGTTGGGAGAGAGAAAATAAATTCTTAAGTGAAAAAAAAATTAAATTCTAGGCCCATGAGAGCAAGCAGTGCCCTCAGAATGACTTTTTCTTCTCACTTTCCCATTCAAAAAGTTTATGTGTCCTGTGCCCCTTCCTCACCTCCCCCTTCCCATTGGTACCCTCCCCCTCGCTCACGTGCTTTGTCACTCACTAGGTCTCAGGTAAGAAATCTGTCCTTCAGTGAGAGCCCTCCTGAGACTCCAGGTTAGCGAACAACTCTTCTGGTGGGAATGTCAGGGGTCCTGGCAAGGCCAAAGCAGGAGGAGGGAGGAGGGACATGGTGTGGGCAGGAGACCCTGCTTCAGATTCCCTCTGGTCCCTCTGCTGCTTACAAGTCACCAAAGGATGGGGAGTGTGGAGATCAGAGGTTTCTCCTCTAGCGAGTTAACACTAGTCATAGATTCTGTCCCTCATCTCCATGGTAACTAACACAGGACTACAATAGGCATTTGAGGGACTCTCTAAGGTCATCCAGGCTACCCCCATCTCCTTTTACAGAGGAGGAAAGTCGGGCTCAAGGATGGGAAGTGAATTGCCCAATGTCACACAGCTCATGTCTGGGGGGGATTTGGACCTCAAGGAAGATTATGTTAACCCCCATTTTATACAATGTCCACAAAAATCAAAGGGGTCACACAGCTACTGCCTGAAGCTATATGTGAACCCCAGGCGTCAATGAATTCAACATCCTCATTTGACGAGGAAACTGAGGGCCAGAAGTTAGGTGACTTCCCTAAGGGTTTGAACCTAGGCCCTCTCCCCTCCCTCTAGTCCTTGGAGGGCCAGCCTTGGAGAGGTGGGCCCAGACCCAGCCTGCTCATCAGACATTCCCTCCACTGGCCAGGACAAACCATCACAGTCCCATCCCTAGGGCTCCAAGGTTGAGAGAGCCCAAACCCACCCAGGGCAGAGTCTGTGGTTGTTCCATAGTCTCAACCCCTCTTCCCCCAAGCAAGGTGGGAAAGAAGGCAGATAGTGGCAACTGTAGTTTTAAGAAGCCTTTTTTCTGCCCCTGCTGCCTAAACTGGAAGCCTGCCCATTAAGAGGGAGCTGTCCAGTTGTTCTGATCTCCTTCCTCCCAGCATCTGGTGGAGTCTCTGTCAGAAAGGACATGGAGAGTGTAGGGGGTGACCCAAATGGCCTTGAGTCCATGTCACATAAAGATGCCTTGAAGGAACAGGGGGTGTTTACCCTGGAGAAGAGAAGAGAAGCCTCAGACACTTATTAGCTGTGTGACCCTGGCAAGTCACTTAGCTCCTGTTTGCTGCAAGGAAGGAAGGAAGGAAGGAAGGAAGGAAGGAAGGAAGGAAGGAAGGAAGGAAGGAAGGAGGAAGGAAGGAAGGAAGGAAGGAAGGAAGGAAGGAAGGAAGGGAGGGAGGGAGGGAGGGAGGGAGGGAGGAAGAGAAGGAGAGAGAGAGAGAGAGAGAGAGAGAGAGAGAGGAGAGAGAGAGAGAGAGAGAAAGAAGAAGAAAGAAAGAAAGAAAGAAAGAAGAAGAAAGAAAGAAAGAAAGAAAGAAAGAAAGAAAGAAAGAAAGAAAGAGAAAGAAAGAAAGAAAGAAAGAAAGAAAGAAAGAGAAAGAAAGGAAAGAAGGAAGGAAGGAAGGAAAGAAGGAAGGAAGGAAGGAAGGAAGGAAGGAAGGAAGGAAGGAAGGAAGGAAGGAAGGAAGGAAGGAAGGAAGGAAGGAAGGAAGGAAGGAAGAAGAAAAGAGAAGTACTAACACCCTGAAATTTCACCAATAGAACCCTTCCTTTGCATTAGGCCTCAAAGGTGGGGTTTGGGTCCAGAAGGCATTGGTTAAAATGCACACATGCTACCAGGAAGGGACCAGAGGCCATGGAGACTTATTTCCTCGGGCCTCCTTTGCCAATTAGGATTGTCTTATCAGATGCCCTCTGTCTACTGTAAATACACAGCTTGTCCCTGAGGGCACAGGACAGGGGAACCAAGATACCTTTGTGGGAGAGAGGAGCCAGCAGGCAGGCTCACAGGGCAACGGCCTCCTGGTGCCAGGAGACAGTACCAAAAGCAAGGCAGAGAATGCTGAACCTGAACTTGGCCAGCTCCTCCAGGTTGCCCAGGGCTTGGCCTGGATTCTCTCCTCCTGGTCAAGGAAGAGTGTCTCTGATAAGTCGGCGGCTACCTGCTGCACCACCTCCATACTCTCTTCCATGGGGGAGTCTTACTTTTTCCTAACCCTAATAAGGAGCAGAGCTGCTCGTAAATTTGAGGAAAGTCAGAAAACAACTGATACCGGTGATTGATACGCATCTACAACAATCACCAAACATTCATCAAGCACCTACTATGTGCCGGTCATGTTTTATGATTTATTATTCTCATCAATGATGATAATAAGTAATATTTAATATAGCTCTTTAAAGTTTGCAAAGCACACTTTACAAATATTATGTCATTAGATCTTTTTTTTTTTTTCTGGAGGCCATTGGGGTTAAGTGACTTGCCCAGGGTCACACACACAGCTACTAAGTGTCTGAGGCTAGATTTGAACTCCAGGGCTGGTGCTCTATCCACTGCACTACCTAGCTGCCCCCTCATCGGATCTTCACAGCAACCCTGGGAGGTAGGGGTTGTGAATATCCCCATTTTACAGATGAGGAAACTAAGACATATAGCAGTTAAGTGACTTGCCCAGAGAACACAAAACTAGCAAGTGTTCGGGGCTAGATTTGAACTCCAGACTTCCTGACTTCAATTCCAATGTTGGACTAAGTGATTAGGGACTTCAAGAGATTGAAGATACAAAGATGAAACAAAGGTGAAATGTTCCATCCACCATCCAAAGAGCCTTTCTAAAAAGGAGATTCTGGTTGACGCCAGAAATCACTGCCCTTTGCCTTCTGCACTTAATCTGCCCTATGGGATATGGCACATCCTTTGGCCTGTGGCTGGAAACTAGGAGGCTGTGATCACTGACCTTGGTCAGTGGTGCCTGGAACCCGGGACTTGGCATCAGGCCTTCCTGCACTAAGCCCACCTCAGACATGACTTCCTAGCTCTGTGACTCCAAGCAAATCACCCGTCCTTGAGCCCTTAGCTATGAAATAGGGATAATCAATACCAACCTCATGCGTTGTTTGCAGGATCACAGAATCACAGACTTCAGAGGCACCCTCTCTTCTCCAACTCCCTCATTTTAGACACCAGGAACCTGAGGCCCAGCTATCTAACTAGCCCTGAGTCATGGAGGTAGTGAGTGACAAACAGGTGTGAACCCAGGTCCACCTGACTCCAAATCTAAAGCTCTTTCCATACACTGTTTGTCAAGGCAAATAAGATCATGTATGCAAAGTGCTTTGTAAACTTTGCCCCAGCATACAATAACAGTATAATTGCCATTATTTATTATTTAATTATAATCACATAATAATTATTATTAATAATAATGCTATTACTATAAATATAATATATTATAACTAATAATATTATTGCTATAATAACATTGCTATTATTAGTACAATAGTAATAATTATATAATTATCATTCCATTACTATTGATAATAATACTACATTATTATTGCCAATATTATTACTACTGTCATTGTTTCTTGTTATTATCACCTTTCACTCATTCCCTCACCCCCCAGGACCTTCAAAGACAGACGCTTCACCCAGGTCGTACTCACTGTTCGATGGTGTATCCACTGTCCGTGGCCATATTCTAGAGTCCCGCCCAGCTCCCTGGTCAGCTGGCTCTTGTCAATGTAGCCGTGGAGATCAGAAACAGAGTTCAACATGATGATCTATGGGGACAAACACAGCCCACCCCGCAAAAGAAAAACACAAGTGAGATGTGTCTCTCAGACCATTGGGAAGCAGCTTGTCTTCCTTTATGGGAAGGATTCACTCAGGTGCTCTTTGCTCTGCTCCCCCCAGACAGCTTCATCATATTCAAACGAGTTCAAATCTAGCCTCAGACACTTGCTAGTTCTGTGTTCTCTGGGCAAGCCACTTAACTGCCATGTGCTTCAGTTTCCCCATCTGTAAAATGGGGATAGTCACAGCCCCTACCTCCCAGGGGCTTCATCATATGAGTGCCTCCCACCTCTAGATGGGATAAAATGAAGAATTCAAGGCATCATCTCATTCAAGGAAAGTTGAGGAGCTGGGAGCCCAGGACACTGAGCTCAGCTCCATCTACCTGCCCCACCTTCTGAGTCCCACAACGTTTTAATCAAAAATGATCTCTTTATCCTTTCTCTCAGGATCTATCACAGAAGAAGCTTTGTGAATGAATGAACAACTCTGATGGGCACCCACAACCCAGAACTTAGAACGTTGGCCTCAGGCACAGGAAAACTTGGGCTTGAGTCCATGCCTCTGACTGTGTGACTCTGGGCACATCATTCCATCTGTCTACCCCAGATAACACTCTTAAGGCTATCAGAGCAGGGGCCGATCAGCATTGGGAGAGGGAATTTCCTCATCAAGAGGAACACCGATTCAATCACCAGTCTGATCCCAAAAGAAAAAGAGAAATTTGGGCAGGTCAGTCTCAAGGCAGTTTCAAATTGGGAAACATTTCCTGGTTTCATTCTTCATCTTTATATGTCCAGCAATGAACACAGTGCCTAGCCTATTGTAAGTGCTTAATAAATGCTAGCTTAGGAGCAGGTAGGTGGGGCAGTGGATAGAATGCCAGCCCTGGAGTCAGGAGCACCTGAGTTCAAATCTGGCCTCAGACACTTGACACTTACTAGCTTTGTGACCCTAGGCAAATCACTTAACCCCGCTGCCTAACCAATAAATGAATGAATGAATGACTGAATGAATGACTGACTGACTGAATGAATGAATGAATGAATGAATAAATAAGTGCTAGCTTGAAATGACTGGTTGATTGATTGATTGGATGGATGATGGCCATACTTTGACTTTCATCCTTTCCTGGGTTTGTGACTTCTCTGGTGCAGCAACTTCTCACCCCTTTTCCCTTCACTACTCCTCTTTACTTAGCCCCTAGACTTTAAGCATTGCCAAGGCATTCATCACCCAGTGGCCAACCTGCTGATGAGCCTCCCGGAGCTTTGTGAGGCCAGTCCTCAGGAAAGCCTGGGCTCCAAGGCCAAGAGAGCCAGGGTCACCTCTGGGTTGCAAGAAGGTATTGGAGGAGGACTTTAGTAGAAAGAGCCCATGCTATGACGGCCGCCAAAATCCACGTCAGATTTGTTGACACCCCCCAAACCTAAGATGAGAAGCCCAACAAAGGAATGGAAAGGATCGACTCTGGGACATCTTCAAATAAGTTTAGAAAACAGCAACCTTCTCTTAACCTTTCAAAGAGGCACTATATGCTAGACACACTGATTTTCTTGCTGGGTTGGAGAAGAAGGGGAGGTTTTTCACAATTAAAAAACAAATCAGTCCTGCTGTTAGAAACCCCTTCATTGACATCCTACAGCAGGGGGCTTAATCAATCTACCATTCAGCAAGCATTTAGTAACTACCACGTGTGAAGCACTGTGCTGGCCACTAGTGATGCAAAATAAAATCGAAACAGTTCTGCCCTCAAGGAGCTTACATTCTAATAGGGAAAGAGTCCATCAGGGCTCTTTCAAAATTATTCTATTCCAGGGGCAGTGGATAGAGCACCAGCCCTGAAGTCAGGAGGACCTGAGTTCAAATCTGGCCTCAGACCAAACACTTGACAGTTACTAGCTGTGTGACCCTGGGCAAGTCACTTGACCCCAACTGCCTTAAAAAAAAATTACTCTATTCCACAACAGCACAGTAGACAGATCCAATACAAGATAAGAGGCAGCTAGGTGGTGCCATAGTAGATAGATAAAGCATGGGGCCTGGAGTTGAGAAGACCTGAGTTCAAATCTAGCCATAACACATTGCTGCGTGACCCTGGGCAAGTCACTTAACTTTAGTCTGCCTCAGCTGCAAAATTGGGGATAATAATAGACTCTACTTCACAAGGTTGTTGTGAGGATCAAAGGAGACAGTATTTATAAAGTGTTTAGCACAGTGCCTGGCATAGGGCAGTGGCTTAATAAATGTTTATTCCATTCTATTCCAGATAAACTCCTTGAGGCCAAGTACTGGTGCTTAATAAATGCTCATTGATGGAGCTTTGATTGTCACGGCCCTAAATCCCTGCCCACTCATTTTCTGAGATAGAAAAAAAAAACCCTCCTCTATAGTAATCTCTTACCTCCAAAACACTCCCCTCAAAGCACATTCTTTTCATTTAATCTTTGACCTCTGACATTCCTCCTTTCCTTTTTTGCCTTTCTGCTGATTTCTTGCAGATGGTAAGTCCTTTTTGGTATTACTGGACAGAGGCCTTACCTCAAACCTGTTTGGCCATAAAACCTCACCCACAGGTATGTAGGATCAAAATACTGAGAGGGCCAGAAGGAGCTTTAGAGATTATAATGCAAAGATGAAGACATTGATGCTCGTAAAGAACCTCAGTTAACACAAGTAGAGCCAGAAGGCACCTCAGAGTCAGTCACGTCAACCCCTTCACTTTATGGATAAGATAAGTGAAGCCTAAAGAATTTAAATGGCTTGCCCTAGATCACCAAGACAGTATAAAGCACAGCCAAGATGGGCCCATGTCCTCATTCCCAATCTTGTGCTCTTTCCGCCATATTGGGGGGCTGGCTGGACTGGGATGCTTCCTATGGAACTGGACACGTGTTTTGATGGCATGACACAGCAACCCCTGACTGGTCCTTGTGATGCCAGTGAGCTCTATTACAGATATTTGAAATAGAAGAGAAGCCATAAGTGCCCATCTGCACGTTAGAGGAATATTAGAATGCCCTCTGGGGGCAAAAGGGGCCCTAGAAAATGCTGGAACTCAGGAACAGAAGTTAAACGGACACATATAAGACTATTTTTCATATATATATGATTCCATATGTCATATTTCGGAGGCAGAGAGTATTGTATACAGATATTAACATTATCCCATTAATATAAATACATCAACATTAAAATTATATTAACTTTTTGTTAAGTATTATAATAAGTCAGGTAGAATATAATAATAATAGATACTTCTAAAGCACTTTAAGGTTTACAAAATATATTCCATAGGTTATTTCATTCGAGCCCTAGAACAACCTTAGTAGTTGTAAGAAGTTGTGGAGGTAAGATTATCCCCATTTTTCAAATGAAGAAACTGAGGCTTGGAGGATAAATGTAACTCCCCCTCTATGAAAAAGCAAGGGGAGAGATGGATTTGACAGTTTTGTTTTAACTGCTTATATGTATACCTGAGAAAAGGTCTGATGAGAAATAAGGTTGATTTAATGGTTGATGAATCTTGGGGATTGTCTCAATTTGAGGATCTCTAGAAACCTCTTTTTCTATAGGACCTGTGGATAATTGAGAGTATTTTTATGCATACAAGTACCCATTTTTCATGTTGGTGTGAAACCTGCTTTGGGGGATAAGAGTGAAGGATGGGGGCGTAGTTAGTGGAGAAGGGTCAAGTACGTTCATATCTGACAAGGTTTCCCAGAGTTTTCTTCGGCTGTGTTCTGGTTTATAGACAGCCTTTCTCACCTTCATTACAAATGCTCTTGTCATTGACTAAGAAGCTTTGACACTTGGTTGTGATACTTGTGACTTGCAAGACCTTAAGCCTCAGTTTTCTTATCGGTAAAATGGGGGCATGTCAGACTAGATCACAAGACCCCTCTAGCTCTAAATGTATGGTTCTATGTGTGACCCTTTTAGAGCCTCAGTTCCCTCACCTGTCAAATCAAAGGGTTGGATTAGGTGACCCCTGAATTCTAAGTCTCTACTCCTATGCCCAGGACTTAAATATTATTATGGAATCCTCCTTCATGAGATTCCATACAGGTTCCTAGAACACAACTTGGAAAATGTTCCTGCCTTACATCTGGCCAATGTTCCTGAGTCAACTCAGTATTCCTCTTTGGGCCCAGAGGGAGATAAGTTAAGATCCAAAGATTCAAGGTCAAGGCCAGATTTAAGTCAGCCAGAGTGGCTTTGATGGATTCCCTCCCCCTCTCCTGGACTTTCTTCTTCTCTGTTGCCCTTGAGCAGGGCCCTAGATGTCCCCTTCTTTTGAATTCTTTCTTCCTCTACATCTTGTGTCCATACCTTCCCTCCACGTCATTGGATCTTATCTAAGTGCCTCTCCCACATTCCCTTATTTTAATTACTTTTGTGGATAGTGGTTCTTCTAAAAATAAGAATTTTTCTAGCTGAAGACAAGATGTTAGCAAGTTAAAAATGCATTCCACATCCAGGAAAGGGAGGGAGGCCAAGCGGTTGTCATGGAGATGCCTTATGGTTTCTCAGAAGCTGGGTGTGCAAAGTCTTATTCAACAGATGTAATTTTCCCAGCACAGCCTGGAATCTTGTTGCCTGACAGAGGCATCCAGGCTGCTCACTCAGCTCTTCCAATGGCCAAACTCAGGAGGGAATGCTGCGAGCCGCGGACTCTCCTATGACTGATGAAACCCAGCTCTCTCTTCCCACCTGGTATTCCCTGTCTTGGTTTCCGAAGGGATTTTGATTGTAGAGAGCAGAGGGGAGGGGCCTAATTTCATTCACAAAACTTCTGTAGGGCCTTTGCTTAACATAATCAGTTCAGACAAGAATCCAAACTCTACAGGCCTCGTGATGGAAATTATAAAAAGAAAAAAACCCAGTAAGACACAGAGGAACCAACACATGAGGAAACACAGCTGATGGACGCAGTGCTGTGCGATGAAATCTAATTTCGCTTTTTTAAAAAAGATATGGTTGTGTGTGCTTTGTGCTGCTCTTGTGAGCACACATAGATACACAAACATCTGCAGGATGTGCGTATGTATGAGAATCCCTAACTTAAGATATTCTGTCCAGCTATGCAGACCAAAGGCCTTCAGTGACTTATCATGATTTCATGAGTTCATGTGGCCAAAAGTATCATCAATGGCTGACCAGCTCTCTAATGATGAACTTCTTGGCACGTACTAGAATTTCCACCATGGTAGGATCTAAGAGAGCAGTGGTCTAGCCAGCATAGCCAGCTGTCCCTATCCCTGTTTCTCTGCCTCTGTCTTTCTGTTTCTATCTCTGTCTATCATTTGTTTGTATGTCCATCCATCTGTCCTTCTATCTATCTATCTATCTATCTATCTATCTATCTATCTATCTATCTATCTATCTATGTACCCATCTACCTGTCTATTTATCCATCCATCCATCCATCCATCCATCCATCCATCCATCCATCCATCCATCCAACCATCCATCCATCTATCTATCTATCCATCTACCTGTCTATTTATCCATCCATCCATCTACCTGTCTATCTATTCATCCATCCATCTATCTATCTATCTATCTATCTATCTATCTATCTATCTATCTATCTATCCATCTATCTGTGTATTCATCCATCCATCCATCCATCCATCCATCCATCCATCCATCCATCCATCCATCCATCCATCCATCTACCTGTCTATCTATTCATCCATCCATCCATCTATCTATCTATCTATCTATCTATCTATCTATCTATCTATCTATCTATCTATCTATCTATTGATCGATCGGTCTGTCTGTGTGTCTGTCTATCTATCTGCCTGCCTGCCTGTCTGTCTGTCTATCCCATGGCACAGTGGATAGAGGGAAGGCTGGCCTTGGAACCAAGAACATTTGGGATTAAGACCTGACTCTGATATGAACCAGCAATGTGACCCTAGGTGAGTCTCTGAACTGCTCAGACCACTCAGATCCCACTCCCACCCCTTCCCATCCACCCTCAAGGTCTCTAAGATAATGAGAAATCATGGCTTTGTCATTTAGCCACCTTCATGACTGTGGCAAGGATGGTACAGGGGAAAGAATGATGAATTTAGAGTCAGAAGAACTGAATTCTGATCTTGGCTCTGCTACTAAGTATGTGATCCTCTCGGGCAAGCTGTTTGTGCCAAAGACTGGACTAGTAGGTCTCTTCATTCAGATTCAGATCCATGGTCCTATGACCTTTCTGGGTCTTAGCTTTCTCATCTGTAAAATGAGAGTGTTGGGTGAGTTGGCTTCTAAGAGATCCTTCCGACTCTGCCTATAATCTCTATCATCTTCCCAATTATAAGGTCAGTCCTTTAGCCACTGCACCACAGTGCTGAACTTTTAGACTTAATTTTAATAAAATGTATTGTGTGGTGGGAATTCTAGCTGTTTCTATCAAAAGTAGCTGAAGGTATAATGGAAAGTGCTCATCCACATCCAGAGAAAGAACTATGGAGTTTGAATGCAGATTGAAGCACACTATTTGCTCTTTTTTCTTCTGTTTTGTTTTATTTCTTCTTTCTTGTGGTTCCTCCTATTGGTTCTAACTCTTCTTTACAACATGGCTAATGTGAAAATATGTTTAATAGGAATGTATACGTATAGTTTATATCAGATTGTGCACCATCTTGGGGAGGGAGGTGGACAAAATTTAAAACTCAAAAGCTTATGGAAGTGAATGTTGAAAACTAAAAATAAATAAATTAATCAAAATAAATTAAAAAAGAAAGTAGCTGAAGGCAGTAAAGTCATTTGACCCAATTCCCCTTAATACTAATGTTGTCCCTCTATTGATTATCACCAATCTATCTTCTATATATCTTGTTTGTACCTGGTTGTTGCATATTGTCTCCCCATTAGATTGTGTGCTCTTTGAGGGCAGGGACTATCTTTTTGCTTTTCTTTGTACCCTTACTGCTTAACACAGTGCCTGCCACAGGGTAGGCACTTAATGAATGGGGAAGGGAATAGGCCTTTATTACTTTATAGGTATGATCTCATTTGAACAAATGCTTGTTGACCGACCAACAACAAAGAAAAATTGCTTTTCACCTGGATGGCCAAGTTCCTTTCAATTTCCAGTGAAGAATCACCAAGAAACAAGAAAATTCTCTGTAGACATACATCTTTATATATGTTCATGTTACTTGGAAGGATCTTCTTCCTACAAGACATTTGGAATATATCTGGAACTTGGCCACATCTTTCTAAGTATCAAATCCCAACCTTCTAGGGATGTGAGTTTCAGGGGTTGGCAAAATGCACTGAGTCCTCATTTCTATAAGAAAAAACAAGGCTTGAGTGGCTCATGGAAAGCATCATGAGTTTCCCGCATGTTGAAAACTGATTTTTTTTTAACCATTTTTTGCTGAGTTCAAGATAACTGAATCAGAAACATCTGGGCTACATTTCCTTTAATGCTCATCTCAGTTCTTAAACCCAGATGGGGGAAAGTTCTTTGGCAGGGGGGAGAATGGAGAAAAAGGAAATATACTCTGAGGCTGGCTTAACCCCAAAGAGTGCAGAACAAATCATTCGATAAACAAACAAAAAGAGGAACAAACCCCCTCCTAAAACCAAAAGGGGAAGTGAGAGGACAATAAAAACCCCTGCCCCAACCTCCACTCATTGCTCTGGGCTGTCCTTTCTGTCCTCCTTCTAGCTCTCAAATCCACCCCTTCTTCCCACTTTCCAGCTCCCTGCATCAACCCAGGCTCAACTCCTAGTTCCCTCTGCCTCCACTACTTCCTTGCCATTCTAACTGACCTTCCCATCTCCACTTAATAAATGCTTATTGAACTGAATTCAACTGAATTGAATTACTCTCATGCCATTTTCCCCTAACATACTCTGCCTTAGATTGTGAAGTATCTCTTGTGGGTAGGTCTCATCTCCACAAATAGACTCTAAGTTCATTAGGGTACAACCACATTTTACCTTTCTATATCCCTCACACAGTACTAGAAGCAATTCTAGGGCTTCTCTGTTCCCTGCCCCCCCCATGCACATTATCCCCAGGTTAATCCTGGGGATTATAATCCTATAAACATAATTTTCTACACACACACACACACACACACACACCCCTCCTTGGAAAACTTTTGAAATCCCATGGATCAATTCCAAACTCCTTAGCCTGATTGAACACATCTTCCAAACCTCACTTCTCACCACTTCCTCAGGTCATAATCATCTTTCCCTTTAGTAAACTCCCAAATCATTTGCCTTTTTTTGCTTTGTCTAAAGCTGTAATTTCATTGATGTAGGGAAATCCTGGTAAGGAAACACCATACAGGTGCTCTGGAAATTAGCCTCCCTCCCCCACCTCCACCAAGGCACAGAAGGTTAAATGACTTGCCCAGAGCCACACAGCCAGAATGTGTCAGAGGCAGAGACTGAGACCAGATTTCCTGCTTTGGAGGTGGGTTCTTTATTGATTACTTCACACTGTCTCTTTATTTCATTTATTTTCTCCTTGAGGGTCGGGATTACTTTTATCTTTCTGTATCCCTGGTACACGGTGCCCTGCACATAGGAGGCACTCCAAAAATTTGTGTTAAATTGAATTGAATTGAGACCAAGCCATTGGCACCTAACATATTCTGTTTCAGATTGTCAGTGATATTTTGATATGCATATTGTCTTGTCTTTGGAACTAGACTATAACCTCCTTGGCTTCAGGGACCAGATTTTATCTATCTTTGTCTACTGTACAGTGGAAGGCACTTGTGAAAAATCTGGTGTGTAAAAAGAGGAAGATAGGAATAGATGAAGGGAAAAGGAGGAGGAGGAGGAGAAGATAAGAATGAGAAAGGGGAAGAAGAATGGGAAGAAGGGGAAAAAGAGAGAAAGGAAGAGGAGATGAAAGAAGCAGAGGCAGAAATTTTGACAACGAAAATGGAAGATGGAAAGCTGTGCTTACCGGTACCTTCATTTTAAAGTCATCTCTATACAGTTTAATGCCAATGTCAGCGATGGTCCTTTGGATAAAGCGGGATGGCCGAAGGACAAAGACAAGTTGCAGGTTTCCTGGAAACGCTCCCTGGAATAATGAAAAAAGGTCATGAGGAAAGGCATCTCACATCCAAGACCCGCTTGTTTCCTACATCTCATGCTAGGTGATGGGTGCTAGAGTGAACCACGAGTAATTAAAGGAGTGCCCCAAATGGCCCAGCTTGGATGTGGATGGAAGAGGTCTGGGAGCCAGACCCCATGAAATCATCTCTGGGATATGGGGGGAAATGGAGTGCTTCTGCTAGCAAAAGGCAAATTCCTAGAAGGTGGGGAAGCTCAATCGGGCATTTGTTTCCCCAGCTGCTAGCACGGTAGTAAGTCTACTTAATAAATGCTTGTTGAATTGAACTGCACATCTCAAGTTGTATGTAAACATTTCCTGGCCCCTCCTCTAGGTAATAAGTGCTCTCTCACTTAATACTAATTTCCAGAGCAGGTACTGACCTGGGTGGGTAGAAGGTGTTTCCTGACCAGGATTTTCCTACATCAGTGAAATCACAGATTTAGACAAAGCAAAAAAGCAAGTGATTTAGGAGTTTATTAAAGTGCTCCTCTCCCTCCCTAGGTATTAAGTGCTCTTACACACCTTTGGCTTGTTAATGCCTTCTTCCTCCTCAGATCACCTTGTATTTACTGATCCACATCCTCATTACATCCACCAGTTGAGTGCAAGCTCTCTGAGGACGGGGACCATCCCACTTTTGTGTGCCTTTGTCCACAGGTGCTGGGCTGGGAATTCTGGGTGCAGAGAAGCTCACGTCCCAAGCATAGTCTATGCTTCTAATCTACTTACATGTCTCCAGCTAATTACCGGGCTCCATCCAATCAGACATAGTTGCTATTGGTAACAACTGTGTTACCCAGTTACAAATTGGAGGTGTTTACTATATTATGGTTTAATGTTTAAGGGGGTGCACAAAATGGCACAGCATACAGAGTGTCAGATCCCCAGTGAATGGACCTGGATTTGAATTTCGGCTCTTTCATTCACAACCTATGTGGCCTGTGGCAAATCTCTTGGTTTCATTGGATATTAGGTTATTTATCTGTAAAATAGGGAGTTGGAGCTGATCACCACCAAGGTCTCCTGTAGCACTAAATCTGGACTCACTCTCTGCAGGAGACTAACAAATAAAGGGAAATATTATCTAGAGGCCCTTCACCCCAATGGACTCTTGTGTAGACCCCAAAAGTGGGAGCCAATGAAGGTGAAAGGATTCATGACAGACGGCAGAAACAGTCACAGGTGCCACAGCTGTTACCACGTTCCAAATGACCAGGTGCCCACTGGTCTGGAGGGAACTAGGTGTCCCTTGGTAGGTAAACTCTGCTAGAGAATTCTTAGGATGGAGTAGGGACACATAAAAGCTGGCAACACCCATCTACAATGTAGCATGCCTAGGAACATTCCTCAGAGAGGGTCAGCCCTGTTTAATTACCCAGTTCTTCTAGGAGCTCCTTTTCCTGCCCTTTCCCTCCCCACTTCAGGCCAACTCTCCAAGTTATAGTTGTATTCTCAAGATGCCAAGTGTGGGTGGAGTCATTAGAAAGGATAATTCTACAGCCACAAATAGACTCAAGGAATCAAACTGTCAGGGTAGAATCAGTGTTTTCCCCTCCTTGTCTCTTAAAAACAGGGGTTCTTAAGCTGGGGTCTGAGAATTTGTTGTTTTTTTTAATATTTGACAAAATTTTAAAAAACTATTAAAAATGTTTACATGCAATTGGTAAAAGATAAAATATTTAAAGTTAAAAAATAAAAAACTATTTTAATAACTAGGTTTCAATATAATTATTTTCTTCTGTAATCCCATGCATTTTATTTTATGCATTTAAAAGCATTTTTCTGAGAAGGGGTCCATAGACACCAGACTGCCAAAGAGAGCCATGACACATATACAAAGTTAAGGGCTCCCACCCTAGATCATGCATGCATGCAACCCTCGGAAGAACCTGGAATTTTGCTAAGTCCTATCACTAGAATTACCTGGAATTCTATTTATCCTGAAGCATAAGGGACAGCTGATTACGGTATAAGGTGGGAAGAAAGGGCCAGCCTCATCACCAGAAAGACCTGGATTCAAGTTCCACCTCTGACTATTCTTAGCTGTATAATCCTGGGCAAGTCACTTAACCCCACTGCCTAGCCACAAAATAAAATGAATGAGCCACCCCTCTGCCCATGCTCTTAAGCCTCTCCAACTACTCCCCCTTGCTGATCAGGTCCCGTAGCCTAATGCTGTACCTATTGCCTTTGTCACTCAAACTTTAAGAGACCAAATCCTTTTTTAAAAAAGAAAGGGTGATGAGGAGAGGCTGGGGGACAGGAGATCTGGACAAGGGGCCCTTTGAGACCATCAGAATGTACTTAAAGCACAACTGCAGAAATAAATCTTTCAATAAATGGTCATTCTCACCCTCTCTTCCCAGTGAGTTTAACTGGAAAAAAAACATAAGAATTGAGAATTACACTGGCTTTTAAAAAAACTCAATAGCTTAAAAGAAATGAACATAGGGTCATGCTTTTACAGCTGGAAGGGACCCTGGAATCTAACGCCTTCAGTTTTGCAGATGAGGAAACTGAGGCACAGAGAGATTGAGTGACTTGCCTAGGATCACATAGCTAGTAAAGATTTGAGGCAGGATTTGAACTGAGTTCTTCCTGACTGCCCTCTAGCCACCATCTCTTCCTAAACACTCAGAAAAAGTAACAACAATATATCTGTCCACTTTACCTCCCAAACTCAACAGGGTCTGTGTTGAAATAAGAGGATGAAGGCATGCCTGACATGCTTTTTGTTTTCTAAACATATATGAAATGATCACCTTGGTCCATTCATGGCCAAGAATTTTGGTTGCTCTGCTCTGTCTAGCCAGACCCAGGATATAATTGGGTATTCTTTAGAATTCAGAAAATCCTTTCTGCCTGAAAGCTGACACATCCCCCAGCTTCTTGCCTTCCAAGAGATGGGGGGGGGGGGGACATGTTTTGCTGGCAAAGGGAAAGTGAGAAGGGAGGGGGGGTCTCTTCCCAGGTCAGGCAAACTTACATTTTCTCCATCATAAACAGCAGAGTAAAAACAAGTAAACATCACGTGTACTCACTGCAATTCGGGTCAAGGATGCCTTTACGGAGCTCCATTTATCTCTCCTTCTGTCAATAACAATGATGAACCCGATGCTGGCAGCCTCCAGACTGCAAAGAAACATGAAGAGATGTGCAGGGTTACACAGACCCGCAGGAGTTTGGGGCAGACACCATAGCAGAGACCAGACTCCATACTGCTCCCAGGTTGGCCACAAGTGTCCCTGCCTTGCTGGGTGAAGAGCTGTGCTGGATGGCTCCCGGGAAGCAAAGGCAGCTCCTACTATGTACCCTGAGGCTGCCTGGCAGCCTTCATCAAACATGAATCTTTTATCCGTTCCTACCTCTCAGCTGCTTCATCTCTGGGTGGTAAAGGCAGGCGTGCCAACTAAGGCCACATGTCTCCATGCCTGACTGAAACCTGGCAGATGCATGGGGGAGGCAGGACACCCCCATGTTGGGCCCTGGCATGTTTTCTCCAAAAACGCTGACATATCACGGGGCTGGTGCTGGCTTCTACTGAGGACTGCATCCAGGCTGTGGGAGAAGGCTACACGTTCAGTGCAGGGTGCAAACAGCTCACCAGAAATCAGGGGAGTGGAATACAGCTTGGAAACGTGTAATCAAGAATCAGGACACGCATGAAAGGAAATGTGTCTGCTGAGACCTCACAGTCTGATCAGGTGCCCTTCTCCCTCCCCTAATCCTCTGTACAGTGAGGGGTGAGACTGGATAATCCCCAAAGTCCCTTCTAGCCCTAAGCCCAGTGATATTCTGATCCTTGTAAAAGCAAAGCCTCCAGGAAAGACTATTTCCTCCCTTGCTCTGCCTTCCTTAGAACATGCAAATGCCTTACATGCAGTCAGTCAATTCACCAACGCGGCATGCATTAAGTGCCTACTCTGTGCCAGGCGAGGGACAGAAGGACAAAAACAAAAACAATCCTCCTTTCAAGGACTTTATATTCTGCCAAGTGAGACAAATCTAGGCCCTGTTACCTCTGGCCCATTTCTCCTCGGCCACAGAGCAGAGAAAAAGCATGGGATTTGAAGTCACTCATTTTTTCAGTTGTGTCTGACGCTTCATGACCTCACTTGGGGTTTTCTTACAGAGATATTAAAGTGGTTTGTCATTTCCTTCTCCAGCTCATTTTACAGATGAGGAAACTGAGACAAACAGAGTGAAGTGACTTGCCCAGGGTCACACAGCTAGTAAGTGTCTGAGGCCAGATTTGAACTCAGGTCTTCTAACTCCAGGCCAAGTGCTCTATCCACTGTACCACCTAGCTGTCTCTGTAGTTGGAAAACCTGGGTTTAAATCCTCTGACTCTCCTACTAATTGTTAGCTTTGTGATTTTGGGCAAGTCTCTCTGGGACTCAGTTTACCTATTAATAAAACATTGGGCAAAATGACCTCTAAGATTCCCTCTTGTTCTGAATCCTAGAATCTTTCTCTCTTCTGCTTAGCCTGAGAGTTTCTAGGACACTCCTTTTATTCATTTATTTTTAATGTTCCTACTTTTATTTTCCTGTCTTCAAAAGTGACTATAATTTTTAAAAGTGCCTGGAATCATAAGGCATGATTGTCAAATTGTTTCTTAGAGAAAATAGCTGTAAGCACCCTTGGGGGAAGGAGGTCAGCTATGGGAGGAGTGGCTGATTTGAGTAAGTCTTGGGGAGCTGAGCAGGGAAGGAAGAAGCTCTGGTGCCTAAGAAGCTCAGTGTCTAATAACATGTTATAAAGGCAGCAAGGGATCCCTATGGATAGAACATAGGACTTGCAGTCAGGGAGATCCTGAGTTCACATCCTGCCTCAGACATTTACTAGCCTTGTGACTATACACAAGCCAATTTATGTCTCTCAGCTTCAGTTTCCTCATCTGTAAGGTAAAGGGATAATAATAGCACCTCCCTTCCAAGGTTATTGTAAGGATAAAATGAGATCGTATTTATAAAGCTTTGCAAGACTGGCAAAACTTAAAGTGATACATGTGTATATACATATGTGTATGTGTGTGTGTGTGTGTGTGTGTGTGTGTGTATATATATATATATATATATATATATATATATATATATGATGGAGAAAGAATGGTCAGAGAAGTAGGCAGAGAACCAAAGGTCAGAGAAAACAAGATTGCCTGCCCCCAAGGAGTTTATAGCTTTGTAGGGGGATAAGGAATAGACATTGTTGGCCATCATACATGTCATTACGTGGAAAGTGCATTAGATAGCTATCCAAGTGCTACAGAAAATCAGAGGGGATGGTCATTATTGGCCAGGGACAGCAGAGAAGATATGGAAAAGGGGGTAACATGTGAATTGTGCTTTAAAGGGTGAGTAGGAAGTTAAGAGAAGAAGAGGAGGAAGAGGGAGAGTATTGAAAAGATGGAGCAAGGTGAATACAGTATGGGTTCATGAAGAAGAGTTCTGTCCTGCCTCATCTGTGTGCTGAATAAATGGAGGGCAATACTATGAGATAAGCTTGGGAAAGAAGGCTGGTGCCAGGTGGTAGAAAGCCACAAATTCCAGACAGAGATAGAGAGCCAATGAAAGCTTTTCATCAGAGGACTGACATGACCAATTTTATGTATAAGGAAGATTATTCTGGGAGTGACATGAAAAATAGATTGGAATTGGACAAGAATAGAAATAGCAGTTAGGGAGGGTAGGTGGTGCAATGGCTAGAACACTGGGCCTGGAGTCAGGAAGACCTGAGTTCAAATCCAGCCTTAGACACCTACTACCTGTATGATTCTGGGCAAGTCACTTAACCCTGTTTACCTCAGTTTCTCTTCTGTAAAATGAGCTGAAGAAGAAAAGGGCAAACCACTTCAGTATCTCTGCTAAGAAAATCCCACATAGGATCATGAAGAATCAGACATGACTGAAAAATAACTCAACAACAACAAAATCTCTAGACACTGAGCTAGTCACTGGCTAAAAAAGAAAAGAAGAAAAGAAATAATGCCTGCCCTCAGGAAGCTTACATTTTACTAGAAGATACAGTATATAAACAGATAAGTAAATACAAGATAGTTCACGGAGGGAAAGAACACTAGAATTCTGGTGAGCGGTGAAACCTGACTGAAGCTTAGGGATTCTAAGAGACAGAGGTGACAGCATTCCAGAGATTGAGGATACCCCGCAAGAAGGTTCCAAGGTGGGAGATGGGATGTTGAATTCAAGGAACAGTAAGAAGGTGACTCTGGCTGGAAGGTAGAGTTTGTGAAAGGGAATAATGTGAAATAAGCCTGGAAAAAGTAGGCTAGAGGGAGATCATTAAGGTTCTCAAATGACAAGCTTTGATTTTATTCTGGAGATAATGGGAAGCTACTGGAGTCTTTTGAACTGGAGAGTGATGGTGGTTAGTTCTATGCACATCAGGAAGGTGATTTAGCAATTATGTGGGAGATGAATTGAAGAAGGGAGAAATTAAAAGTAGGGAAACCAAATGAGAAACTTTTTAAAAGGGGTGATGAAGGCCTCAACTAGAATTCTATCCTCATGGGTGGAAAAGAGGGTATGGATACAAAGATATGTGATAGCTGGTTAAACAAAACATGGCAACTGGCTGGATGGGGGAGGATGAGAGAGAGGGAAAAATTAGGATTGACTCTAAGGTGACAAATCTTGAACGAGTATAGAATGCAGGAGTGTGCTGGTAAATGTTTAACAATTAGACTCGAGACACACTTTTAAGTTTAGTCTTCATTATTAACATTTTTCCATCACTCTCTTAAGTCTAGACCATTCACAAAGCAATAAATCAAAACCTGATTTGTAGTGTTTGTTGACTTCCAGGGTATAAATTCTCACACTGAAAATTTCACAATCAGTTTGAACTGGTTCCAGCACAAGCCTTAATGAACATCTAGTCCATTCCCTCATTTTACAGGTGAGAAAACTGAGGATCTGAAAGGCTAAGTGACTTTCTTGAGGTTATGTGGCTATTTCATGGCAAAACTGGCATAAAACTCAAATCTCCTGATTCTCAGGTTTGTGCTCTTTCTACTAACAAAAGCTGCCTGGTGCTTTATGCGGAACCAATCTGGAGTTTCAGACAGCCTGGGAATTTGGAGACCAATTTTATTTGCTTAAAAAAATAGCATTAGGTTTGTCATCAATGAATCCACAGTACCTGTAGACCAGAAAGAATAAATCAATGAATTTATTAGAGATCGATAACTTTTTTCTTTCTGCTGAATTCAGCAACAGTAATTAGTAATATACAGATTAAATGTTTTCCCAGAAAGCTTCTATATAGTTTTATTGATTTTTCCCTTTCTCTTAAGTGTTATTGATCTTAAAAGAGACTCTTACAGCTTTAGGGACGAAATATTAAGTATGTGTAGTGGGCTTTGCAAAGGGGCAAGCCTTCTTCTCCTGATGGCTAGCTCTAACTCCTCTCTTGCCTTTGTCAAGAAGGAATTTGTTAAGAAGTGATTTGAGACAAGAGCAGGAGTCAGCCCAGAAGTTCCAGAAAAAGTGGGAGCAGAAGATCAGAGAAGTTCAGGAAAGGACTAGTACTGGAGGTAGAATGGACAAGGCAGGGAGAACCAGAATGTAAGATCAAATCCTGAGAACTTCCAAATCCTATGGGTAACAGATAGGTTCCCAAGATGGAAGAGCCCACTGGAAGGAGGAAGGGGCTTTCAATAGTCTTGGCTAGGCCCTTTCTGTGTACTTGTTGTATAAATGAAACTGTTCATACAGAACACCTTTTGTGAAGCTTTGAATTTGAAGCTTTGTGAGCATTAGTGCTTGTAGGGAGAGCTGGTAACCACCCCTGGGGAAAGGCTAGATATTCTGTAGGTAAGGGAAATAATGCAGATAAGTAAAAGATCCTCAAGGTATACCTTGACTTTCTGGAAGGTGAGGGAAAGAACAATGGCTCTGGTGTCAGAGGGCGTGGCTTCAAAAACCAGCTCTGCCACCTAGTGCTTGTGTAACCTTAGACAAGTCATAACAATCTCCCTGGGACTCAGTTTCCTCATCCATAAGATGAGAGGATTGGACCAGATGATCGCTGAGGTACTTTCTGACTTTAGAGCTATGATTCTATTATTTTTCATGTTGGGGAGAGCCTCTGACAAATAGATTACATTCAGG